TTGCAGGTTCTTTACTTGGGAGTCCTAGCCTGGAGATTCTTCCTTGTAGATGCTTCTAAATTAATGAGAAATGGAAGGGTCTCTCATTTATGAGCTCAGAAATGGCACAATAAAGTGTAAATCACCTTTATCCTAAACAGCATTAGAGAAGCCTGACTTCAATTAGAGTGTTTACTAGTGACTGTGGAGGATGCTAATGGCTCTGACCAAGGTACTTCTTTCTGATGGCTTAAATATTTTGTGCTTCCATCCCTCTGGTTCATCCTCAACCCTGGCATCCAAGCATCCTGATTTTAGATCAGTTCTTATCTGAATTTCCTCCTTCTTTGTGTTTTTGCCACATCGAGTAGGGGCTGGTCTAAGTGCCTAGAGTTGGAATAAATGCATGTTAGTTCCACTCGGTGATCCTGAACTGCTGGCAGGAGCGGGAAACACAGGCGCTTTCTATTTAAAGCACAGCACAGAGGGCAGGTTATAAAAAGGAAATCTGCTCTGTGGACAACAGCGAAGGGAGAGGGAAGCAGACTTGGCAGGAGGCAGGGAGGTGCTGCAGCTTTGGCCTCCCTCCCCCATGGCTCCTCTCCGTTGGTGGCACGGCAGAGGAATAGCTTCCTGGAAACTCTGCTCCCAAGCCCAGTTTTAGGAGGTTCTTTCAACTAAACACAATTAACAGTATGATGTTCTTGCACTGTGCAAACTGGCCATGGGGAGGGGCAGATTAGAAAAAGCACCTTCCAAAACAGGCAGCCACACCATTTCCTTTCTCATAGCATAATCAGGGTTGTTGGCTTTGGGTTCTGGAGTTCAGCTGCAGGAAAAAAAGAGGTGCTTGTAAAAAAAACCTCACTTTGCAGTGGGTATTCTTTGCTTTCTATGGAAACATGCAAACTGTTGTTCCAGCTGACTCTCCTGGGTGTTTAAAACTAGGAGAAAGAGACAGGCCAGAGCTCTATTCTGGAGGGAGGAGAGACTATCCCAGCTGCCTTTCTGGCAGAGTCTCTTTCCAGCTGTGAGAGACATCATGTCCTGGGCAATTACTGCTTGCCTTAGGCAAGAATTGATGCACCCTGCAGTTTATTTCCAGTCTTATGGATCTTTTTGGGGACTCTGGATGACATCCAAGATGCCCTTTAATGTGGAAGGGCCACCTAAACTAGAGATGTGCCCAATAATCCTTTCCAGAGCTTTGTGGACATTATTGTTTGGGACTACACATATCTCAGAATCTTCCAACTGGCATGGTTGTGCTGTTTTCAGCATTAGTTGCTCCTGCATTTCACATCCCCCCTTTCACTAATTGCTTAATGTTCTGGAGATGTAAGGAGGGCCATTTTATGGATTTCTGCAACTCAGTATGTGATCTGAATGTTCCTCCTTTATACATATATTCTTTAGCAGTGATTCTCAACCTGTGGGTCCCCAGGTGTTTTGGCCTACAACTCTCAGAAATTCCAGCCAGTTTACCAGCTGTTAGGGTTTCTGGGAGCTGAAGGCCAAAATATCTGGGGACCCACAGGTTGAGAACAATGGCTATATAGGATTGTTGGAGTACTTGGGGTGAGCAAGGAAGAAGTAAAAGAAGTGCTGAATTTTCCAGAGAGGGTTAATGAGAATGGGGATGTATTTATTTATTGTCTGTGGCTTTAAATAGTTCTTCCTCTGTGCATGAGGCAGAACCCTGAGGGCAAGCATACAGATGCTGAGTTATTTGTTCTGCTCCACAGTTGCACAAGGTGGTGGATTCTTCTGTGTGAATGGGGATGATACATGCCCAATTACAAAATGTGAAATTTTGGCACACTCCCATTAGAACGTGTGTGTGTGTGTGTGCCTTCAAGTTACTTGTTAACACATGGTGACCTCATGAATTTCATGGGCAAGGAATACCCCGTAGTGGTTTGGCCAGATCCAATCTCTGAAATATATCCTACAATGCCTGGTATTCATTGGCAACCTCCCGTCCAAGTATTTTTTTTTAAATAATCTTTATTGAAAAAAATGGGGTGGGGTGGGGAGATATTAATAAAAGCTGTAGCAGGAGCAAGGTTGGGATAGTGTTGGGAAGGGTCTCCGGGAAGCGGGCAGGGAAAAAGTAGGGGAGGAAAGAAATCCCCAGGAAAAATATCAGGGAAAAAACATAGGGACCACCAAACGCAGCGCCCGGACACGCATCAAGGAACATGAAAGGCACTGCAGAATACTTCAACCAGAGAAGTCAGCCATAGCAGAGCACCTGATGAACCAGCCTGGACACAGCATATTATTTGAGAACACAGAAATGCTGGACCACACCAACAACCACCATGTCAGACTACACAGAGAAGCCATTGAAATCCACAAGCATGTGGACAATTTCAACAGAAAGGAAGAGACCATGAAAATGAACAAAATCTGGCTACCAGTATTAAAAAACTCTAAAATTATAGCAGCTAAACAACAGAGAGGAAAAAACCAGGCACAGATTAACACCTCCCAGCAAGAGATTTTCCCAGGCTCAGGCAGGCCTTCAAATGCTAATGAAGGTGATCAGCTAAACATTCACACCTAACTGCAGCAGGGAAGAGCTCCTTGCCCCACCCCAGCCATTCCACAGATATATAAACCCATTGTCCTAATTCCAACAGACCTCACTACCTCTGAGGATGCTTGCCATAGATGCAGGCGAAACGTCAGGAGAAATGCCTCTAGAACATGACTCTATAGCCCGAAAAAACCCACAAGAACCTAGTGATTCCAGCCATGAAAGCCTTCGACAATACATCAGGGAAAAGGTTGGGGAGCAAAGGAGAAAACTAGCAAAGCAACAAAAAGAAGGAGGAGGAGGAGGAAGAAGAGGAGGAGGAAAGATGGGATTAACTAGGGTTGATCCCACTTATGTTCCAAGATCAGACTGGATCTGATTCCTTTAAGGCAGGGTTCTCAAACATTTTCAGTCACGGAGCACCTTTGAAATGCGAAATTCAAGGCGGAGCACTAAATTTAATCTTGCAAATACATATTGTATATAATATTTTTTTTTAAAAAAAACACCTTACATTTTTGCAGAGCACAGACCACTGACTACTCCACAGAGCACAGTTTGAGAAACTGCTTTTCGGTGTTTAGAATAAATACAGCAGTAAAACTAGGTAAAACACTGCGTAACACACCCTTCAAGAAAAGCATTTGGGCACTTCAAAACACTGGTGTTCGTCTTCCTGCTTTCCCATTTATTGTGTTGGTGTGGATTGTGGATTCCAGGGAACAAAACATCCACCACAAGATGAAGACAGGCTATGCTTACATTCTATAACTGTGATCGCTCCTCTTTTGTGTTTGGAAAGCCAAATTTAAACTTAACCCTCATTGTTTTTCTCTGCATATTGGAGGCTCTTGCTGCTGTTGTACTGGAATTCACTGAATGCCAGCCCTTCCTTGGTGAATGAGGGGTCTTGCTTAGCTTTTGTAGAGGGGAAAAAAAAGAAGTAAACATGAACTTTCTGGTTTGTTTCTAGTATTAACCCTCCATGCTGCTTATGGTCTGTTAAGCTGCCATTATTCATTTGTCCGATGTTGTTAGGCCAGTTTCTTCTGACCTTTGGTATGGCAGGGCTTGGAGTTCTGAGATGGTGTGTGTGTGTGTGTGTGTGTGTGTGTGTGTGTGTGTGTGTGTGTGTGTGGCAGAGGGGTGTCAGTGACAGCATTGTGAGGTTCACACCTTCCTTCCCCTGTCTCAAAGAGAGGCCAGCAGGGGCTGCTTGTGATGCCTGTTGTGTATCCTGGCCCATTTTATTCCAGGAAGGCCACACGTGGGTAGATCTGCAAACAGGATTTTTTCTCTCCTTACTGTCATCTGCAAGTACTATGTTCCTTTAAAAAAGTGTATGTATATGAGAGTGCATATTTAGCAAGCTAATTTCTACTGAGAAACACTTTTCTCAGTGTGGTGCTACTTCCAGCCTTTTTGAATGCCTGGGTTGGGAAATGGCAGTGACTGGTGTGGCTGGTCCTCTGAGGTGACCTTGGTGTTTTCTCTCTCTGAGTAATGAACTGGACTTACCCAAAATGTTGGCCCCCAACCTGCCCTCAACTTATATATGAAGTAAACTACATGAATAGACTGTATACAGAATGTTGTACAGTAGCATTTTGCAAAAGAGCTCTGCTGTCAAAAGCTGGTACTCTGTTTTCTCTTGAAGAAGCAGGATTTCAGGTGGTTGCCCAAGTAAACCTGAAAATTAGAATCCATCAGATGCATGACTAATAAAAAAGTTACACATTGGAGTGTGCTGCTCTTTCTGTTTCTGTAACACTAACTTTTAGAATGTGCAAAAAGTTTTTAAATGCCAGCAAAATATTTTAGAGAAATACCACAGAGTGTATCTCCTAGTTTCAGTTGAGGTACACTCTGTGGTTTTTCTCTAAAATATATTATGAGAGTGTATCTCTAAAATAAATATAAGAGTGTGTATCCTAGTTTCAGTTGGAGCCCTCGGTAGCACAGTAGGTTAAACTCTTGTGCTGACAGGACTGCTGACCCAAAGGTTGGCAGTTTGAATCCGCGAGACAGGGTGAGCTCCTGTCTGTCAGCTCCAGCTTCCCATGTGGGGACATGAGAGAAGCCTTCCACAGGATGGTAAAACAACCAGGCATCCCTTGGGCAACATCCTTGCAGATGGCCAATTCCCTCACACGAGAAGCGACTTGCAGTTTCTCAAGTTGCTCCTGACACGAAATAAAAGTTTCAGTTTAGTTTAGCATTTTGTGTTTCACTGCTCAAACACATCTTTGGGCCTACTTCTCCAAGTGTGAAAGTATCTTTACACAAAATAAACAGCAGGCACAGACAAACTATCTTAAAATATTTCAACAGCAGTCTCCTAGATCACAGTATAGTTATTTAAGCTTGCTAAAAGGCAGACTAGCATCTGTTTCATAACTATAGTCTCCATGGAGGCGGAAGGGCTTGCCTTTAGATTTCCAGTTCTTTGTTCTGAGTGGCTATTCCTTCTCTGTTTCAGACCACCTGCATCTCCTTTACTGTGAGCATCATGGCCATAGTGCAAACCCTACCTGTCTCCATTGAGTCTGCCTCGGAAGGGGCCGCCCAGCTCCACAACAGTGCCTGCGCCTCTCCTGCAGCCATGGGCAGCGTGAGCAGCCTCATCTCAGGCCGGCCTTGCCACAAGGCCACACCGGAGTTTGGCCCTTTCCGTCTGCCTGGTGGTGCTGGTTCTCAAGAGCCACTATGCCATGGACTTCCCACCAAGAAGAACAGCTACGGTTATGCCAGCGAAGAGGATTGGGCTGAAGTTGTGTCTCCAATCAGCCCCTGCAGTGATACAGAAGAGCTGCAGGATGAGAAGCCCCGGATTGGCACCATTCGTGGACCACCACCCAAGTTGGTGCCTGTATCAGGGAAGCTTGAGAAGGTAAGAAAAGACAGCACTTAATGCAGATCAACCTGTCTTGCTTATTTGTCATAATATCAGTAGGCAAATATACTCTTCCATCATATACTAAGATAAAACTGAGAAAGTCACTCTCTGGTTAAATGTGATTCCTTATGACAATGATCTTTATTGGGTCTAAAGGTGCAATTGTAAGTGAACCACGGTGTTATAGCCAGAGCTTGGCACCTTTTATGCTATACTTCCTAGAATCTCTCAGCTGGGACGGCCATGTCGACTGTGGGATTCTAAGAGACATAATCCAAAAAAAATAGCATTTCAAGTTTTTTTTTCTTAACCCGAAGAAGTGTTATGATAGTTGAGAAGAAGTGAGGTTTTCAGTTCCTGAATTAACTTCCAAACAAGCTACCCCATAAGCTCCAGGTTGTTCATCTGTGAAATATAGAGATATACAGGTAGCATTCCTTACTCATTTTGAAAATACTCTAAAATCCAAAATTGTGTACATGGGTGCAGCTTTGCTTACTGACAGTTCAGTGTTTACAAACTTTCTTTCATGTACAGAAGTATTAAATATTTTGGATATAAAATTGCCTCCAGACTATGCATATAAGAAATAATAATAATAATAATAATAATAATAATAATAATAATACAATATAATAATTGTATGTTATATATTACATGTAATATTACTAATAATATTGCAGTATCATGGTATATTACAGTATGGTAATATATAATACTAATATTGTGCTATGCTAATAATATAATATATTGTATGTACATATAATATTGATCATAATATTATAATACAATATAATACTAACAATTATGTATTTTATATTACATGTAATATTACTACTAATATTACAGTATAGTACAATATAGTAATTTATTTATTTATTTGTTTACAGCATTTATATTTTGCTCTTCTCACCCCGCAGGGGTGTACAATGTACACATATATGGCAAACATTCAATGCCAAAGACACACAAAAGATATAGACAGACAGTCAGAGGCTATTTAACATTTTTCTGGTTGCCAGGGGAGCTGTCGCTTTCATCGTCCATCTGCGACACAGATGAAGTACTTCCACATTCCCCGCATGCTTTCTGGAGTGCTTTGCTGGAGTCTTTTTTATGGCCTCATAAATTAGTTAAATTAGCCTCCCCACACATAGGTGGTATCTAATTTTCCTACTTGACAGATGCAACTGTCTTTCGGGTCGCAAAGGTCAACAACAACCTACACAATTGGTCGGAAGCTCACTCCGACCCGGGCTGGCTTCAAATGCATGACCTTTTGGTCAGAAGTGATATTGTGCTATGTTAATAATATATTGTATGTACATATAATATTGATCATAATATTGATTCGATATAATACTAATAATTATATATTTTATATTACATGTAATATTACTACTAATATTGCAGTATAGTGGAATAGTGCAATATAGTAATTTATAATACTAATATTGTGCTATGCTAATAATAAAATATATTGTATGTACATATAACTTGTAAGCCACTCTGAGCCCCCTTCAGAGTGAGAAGGGTGGGATATTAATGTTGTAAATAAATGATAAATATATAAATATATGAAACAGAAGCAAAACTTGTGTTTAGTCATGCGTCCCATCTCCAAGGTGTCTCATTATGTATAAGCAAATATTCCAACATTTGGAAAAATGTGAACTTTTCTGGTACCAAGCATTTCAAGTGAGGGATACCCAGCCAATATATGCCTATTGCCTAAGGAAGATAAAGGTGGGTTATGGGGAAAGAGTTTCTTTGCTTTTGTTGTTGTTCCAACCTGATGCCTCTGTTTTTTTCCCCAGAACATAGAGAAGACACTGATCCGCCCAACAGCGTTCAAACCAGTCATGCCCAAGAACCGCAACCCCCCACTGCAGGGGCACCTGGCACTGCGTCCTGGTGGTACCACAGTGTTATCTGAGAGTCAAGCTAGTTTTGCTCAGCTGTTTGGTGGCACGCATGCAGGTAACACAGAGAAGCACAACTCCCTGAGCTGCCGCACCAGCTCCCACTCAGGAACCATGTCAGACTCTGGGCGCAACTCTCTCTCCAGCCTCCCCACATACAGCACAGGGTGCAGTCAGCAAATGGAGCCGGTCAGCATCTCCATGGGCCACATCAATCTCGACAGCCATGGCAGCAGCAGTTCCCGGGGTCTCACGGGTCCTTCAAACTCTGACAGTGGGCGTTCGTCGTCGAGCAAAAGTACAGGTTCCCTGAATGGCCGTGGGCATCATTCCTCTGATAGTGGCTCCTGTGGTGGGCACTCGCCTGTGCATGGCAATGGTGTTGATGAAGCCCTGCTTGTTCATGAGCTGGAGGAGAAGCTACGGGAACGTGAGGCTGAGTTGCAGCATCTAAGAGAGAGCTTGGACGAGAATGAAGTGGCCATATGCCAGGTGAGCAGCCTGCAAAGTCCCATGTCTCATGAAAGGAGCATGATAATGTTTTTAAAGTTTTTAAAGTATTTTGACAACTGCAGGCTGCAGTGGATAGTGTTTATTTATATATTTTATGTATTTGTTGTAATTGTTTGCTGCCTTTCTCCATGAGTGGACCTGATTGGTGGGGACAAGGGAGAGGGCTTTCTCGGTGGTGGCCCCTTGACTCTGGAACTCACTCTCCAAGGACATCAGGCAGGCTCCAACTTTGACAGTCTTTAGGAGGAGCCTGAAAACGTGGTTGTTCCAGTGTGCCTTCCCAGAATAAGGAAACTCCCAGCAATATGTCCTCTAAATGCACTTTACTATGGATCTAGGAGTGTCTGCATGCCCCATCCCTCTCTGAAAACTATCCAAGTTCATATTTCATCTGTTCATGCTCAGCATTATCTTTAAATTTTAATTATTACATTTGGCCCAGCCATAGGTTTTTAAATGTCGCTGTATTAATGTTAATGTTTATTGCTTGTTTTTTGTTATGAGTTTTATTTTATTGTTTTGTATTATTTGTTGTTATTGCTTTTATTATTGATGTATTGTGGGCTCGGCCTCATGTAAGCCGCACCAAGTCCCTTGGGAGATGGTAGCAGGGTATAAATAAAGTATTATTATTATTATTATTATTATTATTATTATTATTATTATTAAGAGTCAGGACAGCAGCGACCTTTGGTTTTGTTCTGTAGCTTTTGTTTGAAGCCCAGGTAGTAAAGATAAAGGTTTTCCCCTGACATTAAATTTAGTCATGTCTGACTCTGGGGGGTGGTGCTCATCTCCATTTCTAAGCCAAAGAGCTGTCGTCGTCTGTAGACGCCTCCAAGGTGATGTTGCTAGTATGACTGTATGGAGTGCCATTATCTTCCCACTTTGTTTACATGTTTTTGAACTGCTAGGTTGGCAGAAGCTGGGGCTAACAGCAGGAGCTCACTCCCCTCCCTGGATTCAAACTGCCAACCTTTTGGTCCGCAAGTTAAGCAGCTCACTGGTTTAACCCGCTGTACCACCGGGGGCTCATTAAAGGACTACCAGAAGCCTAGGTAGTCTCTTAATATCCCTTGGGAGATCCTGTGTTTTGCCACTTGCTATACTTTTTCCAGAGATGTATTGCTAAAGTTCACTTTTTTCTGCCATTCAACAATGATCCTTAGCAATGGCCAATTGAGAAATTGTTTCCATCCACCCTATAATCCCCTAAGAACCTACTTGTCACGCCTTCTTCAAACTGTGATGTGGATGTCTTGTAGAAGAAACTCAGAAGAATTACAGGACAGTGTGGTTGCTTTCCCTAGCTGCATGCTTGCATTAACTTCATCCAGTTGAGAAAGAGATGGTTATTTTATCACCCAAAGTCTTTAGGGCAGGGAATGTGCAATTGTGGAGAACTTTAGCCTCTGAGGGTGACACCCGCACCTCACCCTCCCTGCAAAACCAAAAATCAACAAAAACAAAGGACCTCTTCTAATGAGGGGCATTTTTTGCTGTGTTTTAGACCCCCATTGGCTATTTTAGTCCTGGGAGAGGCCTTTTATAACAATAGGATATGAAAAGGATCTCTCCTGGACCTAAAATGGCCAGTGGAGGGGGGGGGGGATTTTTGAGGATGTTTGGGGCTCAAACGATTTTGACCCTGAGAGCCCAAGGAGGTCACAAAAATAGTCCAGGGGACGCATTTTGCCCATCCCCTGCTTTAGGGGAGTTCTTCCATAGGCATGGTTTGTCTTTGTTAAGATTTTCTCATCAGGGAACTGCACAATGGCAATGGTATAGCAGACTTCAGCCCTTCTGGATCCTAACAGGTTTTATTTTCCGCTTCAGGTATATGAGGAAAAGCAGAGGCGTTGCGAGGAGGAGATGGAAGGGCTGCGACAGGGCTACACGGCCAAGCTCCAGCAGTCTGCTCAGAAGGCCCAGCGCAGCCAGCAAGTGCTGCAGCTCCAAATCTTCCAACTGCAGCAGGAGAAGAAGAAACTCCAGGAGGATTTCTCCCAGTTGTTGGCTGAACGTGAGCTACTGGAAAAACGTTGCGCCTCCTTTGAGCGGGAGCACACAGAGTTGGGCCCCCGCTTAGAAGAGACCAAATGGGAGGTGAGCTGACCTGACGGGACGTGGTATTTGCAGAAAGACACAGCTTTGAAAGTCATGTGGTCACGGGGCTGTAGTATTAGCGGAATGAGGGCTGGGTGCAGCTTTACTTTCTTCACTCAAACTTTCCTCTTACTGTCTCCTCTAAAGTATTGATGGGTCTCCCTTGCACCTCTCATAGGTGTGTTATCATAATTGAATGTCAGTCTAAAGCAGTGGTTCTCAATCTGTGGGTCCCCAGATGTTTTGACCTTCAACTCTCAAAAATTCCAACAGCTAGTAAACTGTTGGTGGGATTTCTGGGAGTTGTAGGCCAAAACACATGAGGACCCACAAACTGGGAACCACTGGTCCAAAGCAACTTTTGAACTTTCTGGAAGTTTTAGATGACAATTCCTATGACCTCAATTCCTATTATCGCATTGGGCATGCCAGCTGGGGCTGATGGGAGTTTTTGTACAAAATATCTTGGGCGCATGTTATAGTGGTTGGGAAGACTGGCCTGCAGAGTCAAAATGTAATTTTTTGAGTGGGGCTTTGAACACCATCTCTGCCAACTTTCTTTTGGTGTCTTGCTAAGGTGTCTTTAAGATATGTGCATCAACACTGTTATAGGAAGATGTTGGAGAGCATGAATGCAAGGAAAGTGTTGTGTTTTTTATTCAGGTGAGGAAGAAAGGGAAATGTTTCTAATGTTTCTATTGGCAGACATCCCATTCATGTGACTGGTATATGCTGGAGAGGAAGTGCTGTCAGGTTATAGAGTCCAACTTGTTGAGCTTATTAGCCTTCTCCATGTTCCTTTCTGTTTTATCCTCCTCTGTCTTTGGCTTGCTATTTGTGATTTTATTGGCTCTAGTTCTGCATTCTCTTTTCTCCTGAATGCTGTTCCTGTTACAAAATCTTTTGGATCATTCCCTCCAGCTGAGGCATCTCTTTCTCTCCCATTAGGTGTGCCAGAAATCAGGGGAGATCTCACTGCTCAAACAGCAGCTGAAGGAGTCCCAGTCAGAAGTGGCTCAGCGGAGCAACGAACTGATACTCTTGAGAGCCCAGTTAAGGGAGGCACGGGCTGAGCTGCAGGCTAACGAAGACCAGGCCCTAGGCTTACAGGAAATGGCCCGAACCAAGGCCTTAGAGCTTGAAGTGTGTGCCAATGAGCTGGCCAGGCGCAAGAGCGAGGCCGAACTGCTGCGCGAGAAGGTGGGGCGTTTGGAACGTGAATTGGAAGGACTGCGCAGTACAAGCGGGGATCTCTGCCCACTGCTCTCTGAGTGTGATGAGGCGAAAGCCCAGCGACAGGCTGCCGATACCTTGCAGGGCTTGCGTGCCCAGGCAGAGCGGCTGCGGGCAGAGTTGCTGTGCGAGCGGCGCCGTGGTGAGGAGCAGCGGGAGGCTTTCCATGCCGAGCGCATCACCTGGCAGGGTGAAAAGGACAGAGTCATCCGCTATCAGAAGCAATTGCAACATAACTATATCCAGATGTATCGGCACAATCGGGATTTGGAGTGTCAGCTGCGGCACCTCAGCCTTGAACTCGAGGCCCGAGACCTGGATGAATACGAGATGCATGGGGGCGAAGGCATCTGCTTTGAGGAGATAGCTGCCACTGAGATCTGAATGTGCCTGGTGGAAGCCTGAGTGAATGGGGCCAACTCTGCCACAAAAGAAATGCCACACAGGGTCGGAGGGCACTCACTTGGGACTCCCTCTGACTGGAGAGGATGAGTGAGTCCAGGACAGTGGTGGAGGAAACTGCCTTGAGGGGAGGACAGCCATGAATCCCAGTGGGTAGTCCTTATTCTCTTCCTTCACATGGCTGGGAGATCACACATGAGGCTTCCCCACCCATTCACCCACCAGCTCAAAAGATGTCACTGCCATTGAGGTTAGATTAGGGTCTGAAGGTGGGCAGGATTTCCACCTGTGTTTTACAGATCTGCCTTGGAGAAAGAAGGACCCTAACCTATCCTAAACCCTTTTTTCAGAAAAGAAGTGGGAGTGTCTGCTCGGTTACCACTTTTGTTCTGGGTGCCTTCTAGGTCCCAACATTATTCAGAGTCCTGCAATATGCTATTGTTTGCAAGAAATAGGTACTGATTTTTACCTCTCCCAATTTTTCAGAACTGGGGATGTGGTTGAAGCACAGGGATTGGAAAAGATGTGTATGGGGAACTGGGGCAGAGCTTGGAAAAACTACTTTTTGAGTTGCAACATCCACAATTTTATTGCCATTGTGGGCAGGGTGATGTGAAGATTCCGGTTCTTGTATTCCAAAGTAGTAACGCTTCCAAAAAAAAAAATCTGTCTGGTGGCGGTGGCAGGAGGGCAGAGTTTTCTTAGCACTGTCTTCCTCCACTCCCTTGGCGACATGACCCGATTGGCCCTCAGCCACTATTAGCTGGAAATTAAGCTGAGTTGGCTGTGTTAACAGCCAATTAGTTGCTGATCCACTTAGTGGATGGGAGGGAATTAGCATTACCTGTTTTTAGGCAGTCTGGAGAAGCTTTTTTTTTTTTTTTAACATACACACATACACCAAAAACAGCCATGATTTTCTTCTCTGACCTATGGCCCACTCCTGAGCAGTGTGTACATCTTTTTTTCTTAAGCGTACACACAATCGGAATTTTGTGCCAAGGAAAGCTAAGTTCTGTAGACCTTGTAGATTGGGCAGATAAAATAAATTTGCACATATTTACTCTCTGTATACTTCATACTGATGTATAAGGGCAAGGCAGAGCCTTTGCAAAGCTGTGATTGCCCACTCCCCCAAACCTGCCTCTTACTTGCCCCTTGGAGGATCTGCCCAGGTCTCTCTGAGGTTATTTTTGTAGCAGAGAAAGGATGAGAAATAATAGTAACTAGTATTAAGACCAAAATTCTCAGGATGCTGAATGCTGATCCCAAATTCTATTTCTTTTCTGTGCTTGTTTTGAATTACAGAATGCCCCAACCTTCATTCTGGCCCAAAGCAATGTGTAAGTGCTGTGCAGACACATCTAGGGCATCTTTCCCCAAACTGATTTAGTCCAGATGTTTTGGACTATCTCCTCCATTATCCCTCAGTCAGGATAGACATTGGTTATGTCAACTGGAGATGGTGTGAGTTATATTAGCCACCTGGAAAATGCTAGGTTGCAGAAGCCCTTTTCCAAAGGAAAACCTGATGAACCCTTATGCCAGAAGCTTAAGTTCTTCTAACAAGCCTAAGTCTTATTTACCTAGAAAGAAGACTCATTAGGCTCAGGAATTGCTTCCAAGTAGACATCCATAGGAACGCATTATGAAAAGTTTGGGCCACAAGGTGCACTCTAACCTACACTTGTGCAGCTAGCTCAAGACATTCCCTTAGTGACAGCTACTTCCATGACAGAAGCTCTACAGACTTGGGGCTCCTTTCCATGACAGTGCATTAGAACTTCACCAGTGTGGGTGCGCACTTGTGTGTGCAAGGATAGGGATTTCTATTTCCTTAAGGCTGGAGATGCCATTGACCTATGGACATTGCCAGGGTCTGCCCATTCTATAGATTAGAGGTGGGGCTAATGAGTGTTATAGGCCAAAGCATCTCTAGCTGTGGTCTTAGGGGTCTTAGATTCACCTATTGAAGCTCTGAGATACTTGCTAGTCCCCAACACCCCACACTCCCAATCCTTGCTACAAGGGGATCTGAAATGTCCTCCCCATTCCCTTATTGGCATTGGCTTCTCCTGGTTGGGATTCCTACTGAATTGAGAGTGCCTTTCCCTTGGTCTGGAGAATGCCTGGGCTTCTCTGTTTCCTCTGCCATTGTGTGCCCATCCATATCCTGCAGGCCCAATACAGCCAGAGTTGGGACTACCTGCAGCACCTTTGTCACAGTTTTCCCATTGCTCTCTGGCAGAGAACCCAACTGGTGTTGACTTCCTTTTTTTATGATTCTCCATTTATTGCTTTTAGAAGTACTTCTTTAGGTGTCCGTGTTCCCCTTGAAATCATAGAGGGCTTGCCGAATTTGGGATTTTATTGCATTTCTTCAGAATATAGATGTTTCTGTATTCAACTCAGCAGGCCTTTTGGAAGGTCTACTGTTCAGCTGTACCACGATTGACTTGAGGATAAATGGGAGGTTGGAAAAGTTTTTAGAATTCCCTAGTTGGCTGTGAGCTTCTGGAAATGGGAGTCTGGAAAGATAATATTCCCTTGTGAAGATAACCTTCCCAAGTTCTGTGACAGAGTTACTCCATCTAGTACAATTTCAACAAATTTTCCATTATTTAGGTTTGCTAACCAGTTTTGAAAGTGGAAGCAATCTAGTATGTGACTGGTCTATTTCAGTTGGTTATCCTCTGCCCTCACTTTGAAGAGGTGAGCGAATTTTCCACAGATGGACTCCACTTCTGAAAGCAGCTCCTTTGTTGCTGGAAAATGATGCCAACCCAGACTTTTCTGAGATTTTGCAAAAATTACTTTTATGGGCTCCAGCTTCCAGAATCCCTTAAACAGAATGGTCAGTGGGTGTGCTGGTGTTGGAATGTTGTAGCCTAGAAGGTACCTTTTCCAAGTTACTTTGCCCAAGGGTAGTCTTTTCAAGCTATACTTTCCTCTTGAAAGGTACAGAAGGAGTGACAAATATTTACACAACTTTGTTGTTGAGGTCCTTCTGTTTGCACCAGTAAAGCAAACATTTGACCTTCTGTCTTTTTTTTGTTTTGTTTTTTTGGAAAAGTCACTTTCAGAGGAACTTGATGGAGAGGGGTGAGTGAAGCAGGCCAGTATCCTCAAAGGAGGGAAGGTCTCTGCTGGACAGATAAGGGCCTTCTTTTCTGGCTGGCAAAATTGGACAGGTGCATGTATCTCTGATTACTATGACACTGAAGGTATAGCTGGCTTGGATCAGGTATAGTTGAACAATGAGGATTTGTGGGAATCGAGTTTTGGGTCCAACCAAGGTGAGAATAATCAAATTGCTAAGCAAATGTAGCCTAGATCTCTACACTGTCTTGCCTTGCACTGACACCACTAACCTGCTTCCCCCTGTTAAAATGTGTTGTGCCCTGGCTGGTATCCGTAGCCCATTTTGCAATGCTTGTGTAAACTGATCAGGGATATGTTTCTAGAATGGTTCTTGCCAGGCTGCAGCCAAAGCTCAATTGAGGTTCAGTATCCCAGTTTAAGCCACTCTGGGAATGACTGTCCCGTTGCTAGACTTAAGACAACATGCTTATTTCCCAGACCTTGTTTAACCTTAGCTTCAGTTCCACCTGTTCCATTGCATGCAAAATAGATCACACTCAAGATTTTGGGAAGGTTGCATTTCAGCTCCAGACTACTGGCAGGGGAGTTTAATAAGCTTCCATTCTCATATAGAAGACTGTGTGCTTCAAAAGAGGACACGTGAACCCTCTTCTGCCACCTAGTCCTTCTTGTCTAATTGCTATAGCTTTGAAATGTGCAGGTAGGGAGGGTTGGTAAGGAGGACACACATCACTAGACCAAAGGAAAAAAACCTGGTGCATGTCATTTCTGTAACTGTTGCTAACCTGCCCCTCTTCTCTATATCCCTCCTCTCCACTTCTTTAGCACCAGTTTTGTGTTTTTCATTTTTTTACTTTATTTCTGAAATTGTATATTTTCAAAGCTGTGTAAATTTCTTGTACAAACCAAAAGAAAAGTGTGAATTAAAAAAAAGGCAAAAGAAGACATGTCTGTGTTTATAAGAAAAGCTGCATGGAAGTCTGGAAGAGTGGGGACAAAGAGCTATGGAAACGTGGGGGGAAATTGTTTTTGTTCTGTTGATGAAAAAAGGAAGGGTGGGGTGTGTGGAGAGGTTCAGAGCTGGAAACGGAATGGAGGATGGTTTGCACTGGCACACCTTGTGTTCTTTCTGCTGTATTAAAAATGGACCCAATGCACCTTTCACCATCCTTGCCACGTTCAATCAGTGGCTTGTATAGTCCAAGTGGCAGCATCTTGTTAAAGGTATGATGGTGGCTCCAGGGGAAGATATTGACTGGTCCTTCAGGAAACTGATGGTCTCGGATCCCAAATAGTTGCTTCAGTTTAGGGTTGAAAAGAATAGGATAATCCCTTTCCTTTAGCAGAACCTCTCTTAGTAAGAGGTGATGTCTTCTTCGGAGCAGCTGTAGAAGACCACTTGTAGACAACATGCAGGACCTTCCTTCGTAATCTTTCCCCTCTGTTGGCCTGTATCATCATGGCTATCGCAGACTGGCTCAGAGCCTGAAAATATGATGCTCTTGTTTTCTTCCCTAAATGCCACCTCCTTGGTCTGTTGCTAGTCTCTTAATCATGCACCATGGGTTTAAGCATTAGAATTTCATTCAGAAAGTGTTGTGAGAATATTGAACCTAGTTTCCAACGTATATGATCTTCCAAAATATCTCTTGAAGAAAGTGTCACAACTCACTTATAAGTATATTTAAACACATTCTAAAGTCAAAGCATGTTATTACTAATGCTGAACCTGAGTTAGCCAAATGTCAAAAAAGTGGTTACACAGGTTTAAAATTGCCCACTTGCCCACTGTACCTACACACACTGCTTTGTCATCTTTCCTTTTCAGCTGGAGCTAGTTTTGTCATCCAAAAACTTCCACTTGAAATAGTGCAACATCTCATGCAAAGCTCTGCATGTCAAGAATAATGTCCTTCTTTTGATGCCTGCATGCTCACCCCAGTGGGACATCTCTTGCAAGGCAAATGGTCTTGGTAGCAGCTGTCCATATACATCTTGCTGCTCTCTAGTATCTGCTGATGGATTCTGAAAATGGAACGGTCGGTGCTTTTGGTGCTTGTCCTGGCCTAGAAGATGTTTGTCTCTTCTTCCCTGTTGCAGCTCCAACCACGCCTCCCTTAAAAAAACAGGAAGCTATGTCTTCCTGTGTTAAACCCTCAGCCGGCTGAGTAGCTCTTTATTTTTTATAACCTACCAGGCAGTTATCTTCACTGGTCGCACTACTTTTCTGCATAGCAGGTAGGCATAACAAGCTGGGCTTTCATTGACCACAAAGCCCAGAGCTCTTCCTTTTTCCTGAGCTGTCTTGCTTCTTCAGAGTAAGTTGCTTTCTCCACAGCATTTACTTGTTTTTCTTCGGCACCTTCACCACAATCTCCATAGGTTCCTTGGCTTTGTTGCGATAGGCCTGGCGGATTATGTCCACGGCTCGTTGGTGTGTAACATTGTGCAGGCTCTCTCCTTCCACAGCAACTAGTTCAAAGCCAGCCTAACAATGACAGAGAGAAAAAAAGGAATTAGGAAGTCTTCCCAAGTGGATGCAAGCACTTTTATACTGATGTAGCAAAGGACAAAAGACAAATAACAAGGCATTAGACCACAAGTGAATGCTTCCAGCTCTTCTTTTTTCAGATATCTCAAAACATTTTGTCCTCTGGATGTTGTTGGGCTGCAAGTCTCATCATTCTACACCATTAGCTATGTTGGCAGGTAGTGATAAAATGACCAAACATTCTGTACCTCTGCTCTAGTTCTTGCCATTGGGTGAATATTAGATCCGCCAAATCTTCAAATATGTTTCTAATACTGTCACAAGTTCAATAGTGTTTAATAACATTTCCTAATAGAGGCAAAGCAAATGTGATCATATTGAGTAAGTGGGTAGGGCCTGTGAATTACTTACAGAAGAACTGGGGTTTAAAACATTTTATTGATTGATTTAATTTGAATAATATTGGGAAGGTTGCATTTCAGCTCCAGACTACTGGCAGGGGAGTTTAATAAGCTTTCATTCTCACATAGAAGTCTGGAAGAGCGGGGACAAAGAGGTATGGAAATGTGATGATGATGATGATGATGATGATGATGATGATGATGATGATGATGATGATATATTTATGTTAACCTGTCCTCTCTCCCCAAGGGGACTCAGGGCAGCTTCCAAAATAATATGGCAAACATTCACTACAGGTGCAAGCATAATAAATTCATAAAGAAAAGTAAAACAATTGCATAATATCAAATGAAACACAATATAAAACATATTATATAAAACAAAATTGCACAAATTAAAATAAATATAAATATCCATAATTTAAAATTATCTATTTTCAGCTTCATCACAAGGTAAAGCTGATGGTAGTCTACTTTCACTCCGCCCCATAAGCTAATCCACATAGATGAGTTTGTCATTGCTTCTTAAAAGAGAGGAGTGATGGAGCCATTCTAATTTCTTTAGGGAGAGAGTTCCAGAGGGATGGGGCAACCACGGAGAAGGCCCCCACTCTCATTCCCACCAGCCATGCTTAGGAAGGTGGTGGGACCGAGAGCAGGACCCCCTCAATTGATTGCAGCATCTGGACAGTTTTATACATGGGGATATGGTTTGTCAAAGATTCTGGCCCAAACCATTTAGGGCTTTCTAGGTAATGACCAGCGCTTTGTATTTATCCCAGAAGCAGACCAGCAGCCAGTGTATGCTGCCTTTCTCCCAGAAATAAAAAAGGCCTTAACAATAGGTTAAAAGACATGCACAAATTACACAAGATAAATCAAACATGCTAATACATACCCCTAGTTAGACCTAGTTGGGGTAGACCTTCATAGTTAATGTAGGTCTGTCAAATTGATTCAGTGAAACTATTCTAGTAATAATAAGATCCAAACCATTAGCTGTTGTACATGGAAAATAAATAATTCAATAACCAAAGGCAATTATGATGGGATGCGATTTTAGAAAGAATGTAGCCCTACTTTCATCCAGGACTTGGAAAAGCTTGTTAGAGATCATATTTCCCAGAATCCCCCACGTAGCATGATTAAAAGCCACTTTTCCAAGCTCTCTTTCCAAATTTAGAGATTATACATTTATAGATGGGTTCTTTCAAACTGAATAAAGGAGTAATTTTCAAACTTTGCTATGGAAATAACTGAGTATTTTAGGCTTTTTAAAATAAAATGTTTGGGTTCCTCCAGGAAAACATTGTGAATGGAGGGCAAGCTTCCCTAAAAGCAAAATTACTGAAGCCTGCCACTATTGATTTATTTCTGAGATGTGTAGCAGCCTCAAGGAAGGTTGTGTAAGGCCTAGCCAAGTAGGTTAAAAGTGAATTGCAACTACATCATGAACAATGCAGAATTTTCTTCAGGACTTCTTAATAGCAAAGAAATGTAGGTGTTTCTCAGCTTCCATTACGCTCAATCTCTCGAGGCAAAGTAGGAAATAGTATGTTGTAGATCTTACAGAGAACAATAATAGAATATAAAGGAAACAAAGTGTATTTAATACTACAGAACCTGGAAAAGTTTCTTTTAAAGACTAAGCTCTTATAATATCTAACGAAGAGGGTCTATGACTCTGTTATGGCATCATATTTCTCTATGTAGAAGGTGCATGCAGCATGACCTTTTGCACTCTCATGTTTCCCAATCCAGGGTTTGACGGGCCCTTGGGCAAAAGAGAACTCTCTGCCCCGGAGTGTAGTGGAGGCTCCTTCTTTGGAGGCTTTTAAGCAGAGGCTGGATGGTCATCTGTCAGGGGTGCTTTGAATGCGATTTTCCTGCAGGGGGTTGGACTGGATGGCCCATGAGGTCTCTTCCAACTCTATGATTCTATGGCTTTCAGTGTAACCATCTCTTTGAATCAGACATCCTAACTGATTTCCTCTGGATCCCAGTGACGCTAAACCAGAATTTACTGCTGCTTCTCTTTTATTTCAGAGGAGGCAGGATCAAGAAACTAGTGTTGGGGTGGGCAACTGTGAAGGGCTAGAGGGCCACATTAGCCCCTTGGGAGACCTTGGAGCCTTCCCCACTGTACTTGCTTCCATCAAATATATCTACATTGCCTCCAAATGCTTTCTAGGGGACATGGAAATCACTCTCACCATGCTTAGGGAGCTTCCTGGAGATGCTCCTTTTAACAACAGGAAGTGAGTGGAAATCGCATCCTATTTCAGAAAGTCCTCCCCTGGGCATACATTGGGTCATGCCCCTCATGCCTGGTGGAATTGCCTCCCACATCTCTAAGGGGTCATTTTGGAGCAACTGTTTTATTTCAGGAGGCCACAAAACAGCCCCGGGGGTGTATGTGACCTGTGGGCTACATGTTGCTTACACTTGCTCTAGAGGAGTATTTCTCAACCTAAGGGCGGTTTCAGGGGAGTCACCAAAGACCATTTAAAAAAAATACATTTCTGATGGTCTTAGGAACCCCCTTGCCAGAGATGGGTGAAAATCTCTCCGCCTGTCCTTCTCTTCCTTTTTGGAAACAGACAGCGAATCCTCCCACCAAAAGTCTTCCTCCACTGTGATTGGCCGGCCTCTCAGCTGCCCTCTCAGCCAAGGGGAGGGCTGTTTCTGAGACACCAAGCCGGGAGGGGAGAGCATTTTGGTCATGGGAGTTCTGTGTGCCAAGAATGGTTCAATTCCATCATTTGTGGAGTTCAGAATGCTCTTTGATTAGAGGTGAAAAATAAATTCCAGCAACTACAACTCTGAAATGTCAAGATCTATTTCCCCAAACTCCACCAGTGTTTACATATGGGCATATTGAGCATTAGTGCCAATATGATCCACATCTATCATTGTTTGTGTTCACAGTGCTCTCTGGATATTGGTGAACTACAACTCCAAAACTCAAAGTCAAAGCCCACCAAACCTTCCAGTATTTTCTATTGGTCATGGGAGTTTGTGTACCAAGATTGGTTCAAATCCATCATTGTTGGAGTTCAGAATACTCTCTGGTTGTAGGTGAATTATAAACCCCAGCAACTACAACCTCCAAATGACAAAATCAATTTGCCCCCAACCCCAGCAGTATTCAAATTTGGGTGTATGGGGTATTTGTGCCAAATTTGGTCCAGTGAACGAAAATACATCCTGCATATCAGATATTTGCATTACAAATAACTGCAAAATTACAGTTATGAAGTAGCAACAAAAATAATGTTATGGTTGGAGGTTACCACAACATGAGGAAGTGTATTAAGGGGTTGCTGCATTAGGCAGGTTGAGAACCACTGCTCTAGAGATTAGTAGTGGATCCCATGTTCAAATGCACCCACATTCAAAAATGCCCCTCACCATTAAAATGCCCCTCACCATTCAATTAATTTCTACTTAATTGAAATTATGGAATACCTGGGTGCAAATTCAGAAGTGCAACTGAACCAACAGAAGCAAATTCCCTCCTTCCTCCCCACAGCTGACCATCCAGTTTCTTGAATATCTTGCATATAGGGTCAGGACCCCCTGATGAATACAAGTGAGCTGTGATGCAGGGAGATCCTTAAAAACCAAGTAAAGACACTTTCTGGGAACACTGAATGCAGAGCTTTGTTCTAACCCAAGATTGGGGGGAAGGGAGAACCAAAGTAGAACCTGAAGTAATATGGCCATTAGCTATAACAGTTTAGAGAATAACAAGGCCATGATGATGTTATTTCTAAAAAAAAGTCTGATAATGCTGATTTATAGACATAGCCCGAGACATACTGTTCTGTCAGTGCATGGAGTAACAATGACTTGTTACTGCAAAAATGCTGCATTGGAGAATCATGAAGATATTTGCATTTAAAATATTTTTGTGTAAAAAAAATGACGTTAGTCTGTTACTTAATTGTTCATTCAGATTAATAAGCAACAAATACATTTTTAAAAAATGTATTGCAAGCTCAGAAATGATGAGAGATTTTCCTGGCCCCATCCCTTTAGTCCTGGGTTTGACAAAGAGATCTGTCTGCTAACCAAGTCACTGTGTGGCCAGGCTTTTAAGCTATCGGATCCCACCTACTAATATTGGGGAAATTTGCCCCTCTTCTATAGTTTGAGCTATCTTTCCCATTTCCTTCTGCCACCACAACCTGGGACAATTAAGCCTTTTATTGAGCCACCTGGCAAACTGAGCTCACCACCGCCTAAGGGGAAGAGGCCACCGTTGGGGAAATCTAATTACAGCTGCTCCCGGGGACAGATGAAAAGTGGCCTGGTGGGCGGGCAGGTTGGCCAAGGACCACAATGGCTCTTTGTCAGCACCCAGCCTCATTATGGAGCCCTTGTGAAATGCTGCACAGCGCCCTGAGCCATGGGGAAGACCAAGCGGCACAATGGGGTATGTGCATGTGTGGATGGGCTCCTGGCCTCATTATAGGACAATGCACAAGATCTGTGAGGGAGAAAGAGAGAGGAGCTAGGACTGCATGAGGAAACTGGGCTACAATCTGAAATTTTTCCACAGTGGCATGAAAGATACAAAACTGTTCCCTGCAGAAGGGGAATTCCTAACTTGGCCACCATTGTACTACTCCCATTTTCTTTCTGGAGTCATTAAATTGTCTCACTTCATGTGAGTTTGTGTGACTCATTAGAAAAAATTTGGAAGTCAGTGTAGCTAACCTCAAAACACATCCCATTTCTCGTTGTGGTACAGCAATTCAGTGCCAACCTTGAAATGTTTAGGGGATCTGGTTGGTAACTTGAGTATCCCCACACTCTGACATTTCTCAGATAAAAGGAAGGACAGGTCTGAATAAACAACCAGAGTTGTGGTCAACATGGCAAAGTTATTAATGAGGAAGAACATCAGGTATGGAGGGATGGCAGCAGTTTGCTTTGGCTTGCGTCTACTGGGAAGGGCACATTTCTGCCCTCCTGACTGAGTTGAATTCAAACCACTTGGGTTTGCAACAATTGAATACAGGCAGTTCCCAAGTTACAAACATCTGACCTATAAATGACTCATGGTTAAGAACAGGGGATGAAACAACAGGAAGTTATGGAAATCTACGTCTAGAAAGGAAATCCACTCCTGAAAAGAGTTATCATGGGGAAAATGTGTCTCCACTGAAGATTTCTCACCAATCCTTATTTCCACAACAAGCCAATTTTTACAAAATCCAATTAACACAGGGACAGAAAGTGAGTTGAAGTCTTCTGAACAGGGGCACAGATAGCAAAACAAACACCACAGGGGTGTTAAGGCTTCCCTATGCTTTCCAAAACTCATATATAAAAGGTAATGGCTTCCCCTTGACATTAAGTCTAGTCATGTCCGACTTTGAGGGGTGGTGCTCATCTCCATACACCACAGAGGTGTTCACCTTTCCTTATACTATCCAAAACACACACACACACACAATCTGTCTGTCTGTCTGTCTGTCTGTCTGTCTATCTATCTATCTATCTATCTATCTATCTATCTATCTATCTGGAGTTACACTTAAAAATTGTACCTGTTCCACCTTACAAACAAATTCAACTTAAGAACAAACCTACAAAACAAACCTACTTTTTCATAACTTGCTTACTGCCTGTATACTGAAGAGCATGAGAGAAAAAAATCAGGAGGAGAAACTGGTATTTTAAAAGCAGGGGAAAAGTGGGACAGCAGAAGATTAAGTGGGACTATCCCTGCCACACTGAGGCAGGTGAAGAAATCCAGACTGGTGATCCTCTTTTGTAGAGTTACTCTAAAGCCTTTTTGCAGGTAGGCTAGTAGACTCCTGAAAAGTGCAAACTTCCCTCACCTTTTCACCCACATTCTTTAATTAAGAAAAAAATGTTTTTACTGAAGTTTGTGGCTACCTTTAAATGTGCCTTGTATTGAGGAAAGCAGGCAAGTAGGATAGATATCCAAGAAATGAATCAATTAGCAGATTCCAATAATGAAACTTTTGGCAGATGGTAAAGCAACAATAAACGGATACTTTCCAGATGATAAGGTAGAAATCATTTTCCTCTGTTGCATAATACAACATTTTTCTTCTCCAAGAAAACTCAACTAACACATTAAGGCAATATGTTAATTTATGGTTGTAGGAATATTTAGTGGGTGGTAATACACAATACATTATAGAAATCAGGGCTGTGTACTTGGAAGGCACCAGATCCTATCTGATCTTGGAAGCTAAGCAGGGGCAGTCCTGATTGGCCACTTCCACACAGCTGAATAAAATCCCATATTATCTGTGTTGAACTGGGATATATGACAGTGTGGACTCAGATATTCCAGTTCAAAGGAGATATTGTGGGTTATTCTCCCTTGTTATTCTGGGTTATATGGCTGTGTGGAAGGGCCCATTAACACATGGAAAGAGTGCCACCAGAGAAAACTAGGTATTATTATAGGTTATATTTTAGAGGAAGCAATGGCAAACTACCTCTGAGTAATCTATGCTTTAAAAAAAGCCAATGAAATTCATGGGGTCACCATAAGGTGACAAGTGACTTGAAGGCATATACGCTCACATACTACTCAGTTATGTAATTTTAGACACCAGCTGAAATCTCATGTGTATGCATTTTGGGAGGTGGTTCCTGAGAACTCAATCTACTACTTCTGAGTGAATATGCACAGGATTAGGCAGCTGCAAAACAAATTGTGCACAGGGCCAGATTGCTTTGACAGGAGGAGGAGAGGGGGGAAATCAGGCTCTGGAGAACCAAACAAATGCTGGGGATTAGAATAGCGGAGGGATTGTTGTCTGCGGCAATAGGAACTCCCCGGTGTGACCTTGGACAAGTTGTTGCCCAGTTAGCATAAGGGAGGAATAGGAGGGAGAGCCCTGCCCCAATCTGTGAGTGTGTGAGGGGATCTGGATGCATAAATCCCAGATATCACTGGAGTTTCTGAAGCAATTGCTTTGTGCTTTAGCTGTCACAAATCCTTTGGAATGGGGATGGGGTAAGTGGCACAATATTGTGTGCTCCGTCCTGCAGAAGCTCCATATGCTGCTGTAAGTAAACAAGAGGAGAGAAAGAAGACAGCATTCTTATGCAAAACCTGGTCCATTTACTGTTGAACAGTGCTCTGCTTTGATGTCTGAATAGTATAGCAACATGAATGGTCTGAGTCTGATTCTGGCACTGGCTCCGCTACTACGGATAAAAAAAGTGGTTGGGAGTTGGTATTAATAATAGGGGGGTTGTACCCAGAAGAAATTAGCCCACTTTTTCCCCTGCTGCTTTAGTTACCTCCAGTTTTCCACTCAGTGATGCTGCTCCTCCAGGAAATATCTTCTCAATCTTCACCATAGGCTGCAATCGAGATTCTATTCCACCTGAAATGCTGATCCCTGGAAAACAAAGGGGTGCTGGAAGCTAGGGATTGACACATCATACTCTTTTGCTTTGTAAAGTAACATTTTTCAAAGCTTGGGGATATTGTAACCATTTTGTACTACAATTCCCAGCTTCACTTGGCCATCTGGATGGGGGATTCTGGGAGTTGAGTAAGAAAAAACCCAAAACCACAAGAACTCCCAAGAAAAGCAATTTTCAAGTTCATGCATTTTTTTTCAGTTGCAAGTTCGTTCTTTCCCATTCTCCCGTCATTTTTCCAATGGTTTTTAAAGTTATGAAAGAATCTAGGGACATCTGAAATGAACTGAGGGTTATTACATTTGGGCATGAATACTTAGTGGTGGTTCAAATCCGCAGGGCAGAGGTGAGCTCCCACTGTTAGCCCCAGTTTCTGCCAACCTTGCTGTTCAAAAACATGCAAATGTGAGTAGATCAATAGATACCGCTCCGGTGGAAAGGTAATGGCGCTCCATGCAATCATGTCAGTCACATGACATAGGAGGTGTCTACGGACAATGCCAAGTCTTTGGCTTAGAAATGGAGGTAAGCACCACCACCCAAAGTTGGACATGACCAGACTTAATGTAAAGGGGAAACCTTTACCTAGTGTTGGAGATTAGGGATGCAATCCAGCATCCTCTTAGCACACTGTAAATATCTGTAGGCAGAAATACAGTATCATAAGACTGTGCAACCCCCTTGCCGAATAATAGCAATTGCACAATGTCATTGATAATCACACTCAGTCATTATCAATGACTGGGTGACATTGTGCTGCCATTATTGTTGTTGTTGTTGCCTCACTTTTCTCTCTTGATCGAGACCCAGTGGAATGAAGAATCCACAAAGTGTAACAACAATGCACAACTGTCAGGAGAATATGTGCTATGAAAAACAATTTGACCTGCATGTATATTGTCACGTATGCTTGCATATGCAGTTACCAAGATGCCATTCAGGTCCCTTTCAACAATACCACCATAAATACTAAAATCCCTTTCTGAGAGAAGGAAATATTGAAAATCAATACTTCACATCATCTCCATCTTGATAATCAATGAAAAAGTTACTCATAACACTTAAATAGCCATCAACTTGTTTCTCTTCCATGACATCCTCCATAATCAGCAGTTTGAGATACCCATTTCACTCTGTCTAATGGCTGGTCCACCCTATACAGCATATTTCAGAAGATGGGTAATTGATGACATAACTTGAAATAATCCAAAACATTTTAGAAGTGTCATCAATTTAACTCAAACAGAACCAAACAAGCAAGCGGGCACATCAAAAATGAAGCCATATTCAACTAAGGCTTCCCTGTTTGAATAAGAATAGCAAAGTTTTCCTTCATGTATTTAACCTGAATTTCACTGCAGCCTTCCTGGTTGCATTTCCCAACTACAGCTACAATCTACAATCTCAGCAGATTGTAGATTTGACAGATCCTAATGACGAGGCAGTAGGGTTCCCACATCTGTGTTCAGATATGTTTGTTTCAATGATTATAAGCAACCTTGAATACTGGACCAGGAAAAATGCATGATACAACCATACACAGTAAAGAGAGGCATCCCCTTGCATTTTCAGCTTAGAGCGATATTAGGGATTCAACTTACCTAGTGATTGCTTTTTCTTGGAAAGATGAACAGTCAGCAGCTCATATTCCTCCTCCTTAATGTCACGGGGGCCATTTTGGAGTGGACCATCTGGGACCCCTTTTGTTGTTTCTACTGCCTTACTAGTTGTTGAGGCCTCAAAGAGCTGGGATAATGGGGGCCTAGCTCTGCGTGGCTTGTTGATCACTGAGTACAAGGTATCCTTGGCAGGCTGGACTTCCCCATGTGGACCCCATGTGGCTTTGCCATGGCTTGACTTGGCCATACGAGGCCTCCCTCTGCCAGATCGTCCATCCCCTTGACTGAGGGACTCTACTTCCTGAGCATGTGCGCTATGCCGGCGACTTCCTGATGTTTTTGTTTGCTTAGTGAAAATCCAATGGGTTTCCTTGCTACCAGCAGATGAAGAGGAGACTTGGGAGGATGTTGTGTACCCATCCACTGGCACGTCGGGAAGAGGGGTATAGCTTTGGGGATGAGTCCGTCTGGGAGATAGCTGCAAGCCTTTCATTCCATCCTTCAGAACTGTCTCCTCCTCTTCCTCCCCCCTTTCTTCATTGTTCACTGGTTTGAGCAGGAAGCCGCCCCTGAAATCTGCAATCAAAGTTTCAAAATGTGATGGTTATCATCTCCCACCTTTCCCCCCCAGACTTGCCATGAAAACCTTGGAAATGGTGAAATCAACCATGGGAAACTATATCCAATATTTGCATCCTGGAAGTGAATGGAGTATATAGGATTTGGAGTTAATGTCTGGTCCCAGAGACATAATCTATAAGAATAACCAGTTCTATTGACTGCAATCACCCATCAAAAGAGTGTGTGGTTGGCATTCTCTTAAAGCAGTGGTTCCCAGCCTTTTTTTTTTTTTTGACCAGGGACCACTTTGACCAGGAACCACTCCCCAACATTTGTACCAAATCAGGTTTTGGTCAACTTTAGATTTGGTTTGGTTATTTGAGGTGCTGATTCAGAAAATTGCATTAGATAGACCACCATCAGCTCTAGTTTCTGATACAGAACATATGCTATCCAGTAGTTGCTCACTCATAGAAAAACATATTTAATAATCTTGAGCTTGATGTGGTAGTACGAATCTTTCATGGGTAGTCAGTCGATCCCCTCCCAACATCCTTGTTGACTCGGCACTATAAGAGAGTTTTGCGTGACCAGTCGCTCTCATTGCCACGTGGTTTCGATGTAATGGTGTAGTAATGGTGAGGCTGCAGGTCATATTTTTGTTCTTGTGGACCACTGGTGGTCCACAGATCACAGGTTGGGAACCACTGTCTTGGAGGCATATGCAGGAGTAAGTTAACTTTTTGCCAATGTATGCCCCTTTTTGGTCTCTGGAGATTGGTACTCTCTCACTTAAGAATGACAAAAGCTCCTGTGAACTGTCTATAGAGTCACGGAATGTGCCCTTGTTTCTGCCACATTCCATGCTTGATGGAGTATGGATGGGGATTGCAGAAGCATCTGGCTATGTTCCTGTAGTCAAATGCAAAATGATTACATCAGTCACTGAGATCTCTAGAGGACCCCCAACAGATGATTCAATCACTTCTGGCTATGAGAACATAGCCAGACACTTCTGTGAACCCTCACCCTGTTCTCATTCAGGCATGCAATTGCCAGAAGGACAGTTTCAGAAGCTCTATAGTAGATCTGAGGAGGGATAAATGGTTCAGCATAGCATCGTTTATGCAGAACTGATGCTACTCTGATCCATGTAGGATTGTAACCTGTGTGCATTAACCCATTCTCTACCCAATGAATATATTTCCTCTCATTTGTTATGATTTATTTGAAGCATTTATATTTTGCCCTTCTCACCCCGAGGGGGACTCAGGGCAGAGCACAACATATATACATGCCAAACATTCAATGCCGGAACATAAAATAAACTATAAATATACACAAACATCAAAATCAGTTATTCGTCATTCCTATAACATCATAATGCTCTTCAGCCTTTGCAACAGGAACTGCCTTACAGCAACACAAACCAATTATCCTAAGCTCGAAAGTTTATTTTACGACAAATAAATATAATATTTAGGTGTGGAAGTGCATTTTTTAAGCATGTCTTTTAAAGGTCTATAATGGCCCCACTAGTTAGCATAATTTCTCTTCAAGTCTCCTGTGGGTATTTGAATATTTGGGTTTATAAAATCAGAGATGTTAAATTACCCAGGTCAACCCTCCTGCCCTTATGACTTGTTCCTTACAAGCAAAAATATTTCAAATTCAGGAGAAATCTAAGCATGTTAACAAACTTGCAGCATGCAATTAAATATTGTACATGTTCATGCAATTTATGTAATTGCATGAACATTTGCTCGAATTCAAAGTATTTTGTCCGAGTTGTGCAATTGCAGCTAAAACAGTATCATTACCCTTTTGGGAGGAGGGTGCTATTTTTGGGTGAGGGGAGGATAATCACAAGGACTCACCAGGCACTGGGGTGATAAGATGTCTCTTCGGGGGGACTTCATGTTGTGTTGGGCGGAGAGCCGGTGACCTCACTGTGAACATGGGAAATTAATGAGTCAATCTCTGTTTTATACTTTTCTTTTACTCAGTGACTTGGGGTAGTCTCATTGAAAGCTTTGCTTCTTAGTTACTTTCCTGCAGTGGTTTATTTTCAAAAAAACAAAAACAACCAGCTTCCAGGGCTCCAAGCTATCAGGAAGCCATGGCTTCTTCCCCACAGGCATCATAGTCCCTACTCTTAGAGAAGAAGTAGAGAGAAAAGTATGCCCACACATTCAGATACACTCTCTTAAATAAAACTGCATAATTTCAGGATTGGTTGAAGAAGATTTGGAAAAAAGATACAGAATGGGGGACACCTGGCTCGACAGCAGTATGTGTGAAAAAGATCTTGAGTGTCCTCGTGGACAACAAGTTAAACATGAGCCAACAATGTGATGTGGGAGCTTAAAAGACAATGGGATATTGGCCTGCATCAATAGGAGCAGGCCCGTAGCCAGGATTTCGTTTCGGGGGGGGGGGGGGGCGGCTAAAAAAATTTCAGGGTTTTTTTTGGGGGGGCTGAGTTTCGGGGGGGATGAGTCTGAGTGAAAGAGGGTTTACCCTAGCAAACTTTTGTATCATTACCCCAATACCCCCATGCATATGGGATATATTGAGTATGGTGATCAGATCATGATATGAATAAACATAACAGTTTAAATAATGCACCAGTAAGGCCTTTTCGCGAACCACCATGAGAATTTCGGGGGGAGGGGGGCTGAAGCCCCTCACCCCCCCCCCCCCCGGCTACATGCCTGAATAGGAGTATAGTGTCTAAATCCAGGGAAGTCATGCTACCACTCTATTCTGTCTTGGTTAGACCACACCTGGAATACTGTGTCCTATTTTGGGCACCACAATTGAAGGGAGATGTTGACAAGCTGGAATGTGTCCAGAGGAGGGTGATTAAAATGATCAAGGATCTGGGGAAGAAGTCCTATGAGGAGCAGCTTAAAGAGCTGGGCATGTTTAACCTGCAGAAGAGAAGGTTGAGGGGAGACATGATGGCCATGTATAAATATCTGAGGGAAAGTCATAGGGAGGAGGGAGCAAGCTTGTTTTCTGCTGCCCTGAAAACTAGGACGCAATGGAGCAATGGCTTCAATGTACAGGAAAGGAGATTCAACCTGAACATTAGGAAGAACTTGCTAACTGTGAGAGCTGTTCAGAAGTGGAACCCTCTGCCCCAGAGTGTGGTGGAGGCTCCTTCTTTGGGGGCTTTAAAACAGAGGGTGGATGGCTATCTGTTGGGGTGCTTTGAATGCGATTTCCCTGCTTCTTGGCAAGGGATTGGCCTGGATGCCACACAAGGTCTCTTCCTACTCTATGATTCTATGATTCTCCCCTGCATTTCTCCCCGCAGAAGACCCACATGACATACAAAACAAGCCACAAATAAAAATAGTTTTAAAAAGCAGTTAAGAAAACAGCTGCCAGAATGTCCAAGTCAGTGAGTCCAGTTTGAGATAAAGTGCATTGTAGCCCCCCAAACAACTTTTACTAGTCTAGGTTGAAGGTAGGGCTGGCTGTAGTGGTTGGCAAATGTAGGACCTTATAATATAATATAAATGGGTTCCTGAATGAAGTGTAGGACCTTATCATCCTCCAATGTTTGCTTATTTCTATATTATTTATTTATTTATTTATTTACGGCATTTATATGCCGCCCTTCTCACCCCGAATGGGACTCAGAGCAGCTTACAAGATATATTTTCATACAATATATTATATTATTAGTATAGTACAATATCAGTATTATATATTGCTATATTGCTCTATATCATTATATTGTATATAATTTATTATATACCATTATATTGTATATAATTTATTATGCCCATTTTACCCCCTCTTAAGTAAACATCAAAACATGCTGTTTGTGTTCAATTATGTTTACCCACTACCTACAACAAAAGTGCACTAGTCGTAGAATATCTACAACAACACACTGATATTTCATTATATACTTTTAAGGGTTTTTTTCAAAAGTAAAAGTAAAACCTAAACAAACCAAAAAAGCTAGCAAAAAACTGGAACTTTTATTTATTTATTTACTCTATTTAATTCTCTATTGTGAAGGGAACTCAAGGCGGCTTACATAGAGGCCTTAAAACACTATTCCATGCCTTAGAACACTATTCTATGCCTTAAAACACTATTCCAAAAAAATTAAAATTAAATTAAATTAAAATTAAAACATATTAAACATTTAAAAACATTCCATTCCATATTAAAATCTTTGAGCACAGAACAATCCCCAAAAGTAGTTCCCTAACCTAAGCGCAGTTGCCCACCCTTGCACTGCTAACTTCTTTCTTACCGGTTCTACTTTTCAGTGCATCGTAGGCTTCAATCTCTACAGGCACAACCATACTGTCAAAACGACCCAGATCTGTGGGGGCTATAACACTCCTGCAAAGAGGGGAAGAAGAAATTATTGGCACCTGACAACTGTTCCCATTAAACAGCATTATGAGGGGTTGGGTTTGGAAAGCAAACTCCAGAAGGTCCCTGCTTATCTGAGGTGTAAGGAATTAGACCACAACCAGAAAATGAAATCAGTTGAAAAGTGGAATCTAGGTATTTCAGCTTGCAAATGCAATGTTCTTTCCTAGCTGGAAATTTTGATATTTCTAGGTGGTCTCCCATCCATGTATTAACTATCTTGCTTAGCTGATGTAATTGCACAACAGCATGAATGAACAAAATGTTATAAGAGGTGATAGAGATCTACTGATAGGCAGACAGACTGATAGGCAGACAGCCAAATATTCTTGAATATGTGGACCTCTTCTCAGTCTTTCTAAGGGTGGGTCTAGACAATCCCTTTAATGCAGAAACCTCTGCAATAAAAAGTGGGCTGTCTAGATGATGTTCTAGACCAGGGGTCCTCAAACTAAGGCCCAGGGGCCGGATATGACCCTCCAAGGCCATTTACCCGGCCCTCCCTCAGGCTCAACCTAAGTTTTAAATGACTTGAAAACACAACAACAATCCTATCTCATCAGCCAAAAGCAGGCCCACACTTCCCACTGAAATACTAATACATTTATATTTGTTAAAATTGTTCTTCATTTTAATTATTGTATTGTTTTAAAGTGTTTTTGCACTACAAATAAGATATGTGTAGTGTGCATAGGAATTCATTAATGCTTTATTCATTGTATAATCTGGTCCTTCAATAGTTTGAGGGACTGTGACCTAGCCCTCTGTTTAAAAGGTTTGAGGACCCCCGTCGTAGACAAACCGGAATTAATCCACCACAAACCAGGAAAATCCTGGTTTGTGGCAAATTAATTTGATAGTAGGATAAACACACTACAGTATTCCCACAGTTTTCCGGGCTAAATTAAATGATTTCTTCCTCCCCTCCCCTTACTATAAATATATGGTATTATTATAACAAATCCATTCTGTTTTAGCCATTGCCTTATTAAACTAAATTTCTGCACTCCACTAGCAGAAATAACAAACATTGTTACATTTTTCACATACCAAAATACCAGCTTTGGACAAGCAGCAAAAACTCCAACTATCACATAAGGCAGACCAGCAGCTTTGGCAAGACTTCTTTCCAATGAGATCAGAGGTGGAAATCATATAGAATTCCAGACGTTGTTGGACTAAATCTGTAAAGTATTCCTTACCATTGATATTACTGGGTAGGGCTGCTGGGACTAAGAGTCCAGCAACATCAAGATGCTCAAACCGATCCCCATCCCTGTACTAGTAAATGTAAAGGTAAAGATTTCTGCTTGACATTAAGTCTAATCGTATCCAACTCTGGGGGGTGGTGCTCATCTCCATTTCTAAGCCAAAGAGTTGGTGTTGTCTGTAGATACCTCCTAGGTCATGTAGCCAGCATGACTGCATGGAGCGTTGTTACTTTCTCGTAAAAGCGGTACCTATTGATCTACTCATATTTGCATGTTTTGAACTGTTAGGTTGGCAGAAGCTGGGCCTAACAGCGTGAGCTCTCCCCCTTCTCTGGATTCAAACAGCCAACCTTTCAGTCGGCAAATTCAGCAGCTCAGCAGTTTAACCCGCTGTGCCACGAGGTACTAGAGATCAGAATTGGGTCTTGGAGGTCATGTAGACATTCTAGATCCTGGAACATAAGGATCCTGCACACCTACCCCTGCAAATGTGGA